AGCCTGGCCTGGATCAGAAGACCCCCCAGCTGACCTGTAGATGAATAAGCAAAAATAAATAGTGTGTTTGGCAGTAGTTTGTTACACAACACTATTGTGCCAATGTTTAACTATCAAGAAAGTGGTAAACTGTCAGATATATCTAAATGGGATTAGGAGAAGTAGGGACAAGACTGAGGATTGGCCATTAAATATAACTACATGGAGTAACCCTGAAGGGTAGATTGAGGGGGAGTGGATCCAACAAAGCATAGGAAAATAGAAATTGAGAAAAATAGCAAAAGCAATTTTTTCAGTAAATGTTGGAGCAAAAGAAAGAAAAAGAATAAAATAAATAAGGGAAGGAATGATGTAAAGAAAGGGCCTTTTTATGGATATACTTTTATTTTCTGATGTTTCCCAGTTTATCGGACTTTTATTAATGAATATATACTATGTGTATTATTTTCTGTAGAATAAGGTTGCAAATGTTTTCAGAGTCTCCTTTAAAGCAGCTGAAATATCATTGTGACTTAACTCTACTCAATTTCAAACATTTAGAATGTCATAGTTGCCAGCATCCTTTTTTTCTATAGTAGATCTATTTAGTAGTAATAGTTCTCATAAGCACAACTCACATAATACATTTTGACCCTTTTTGGTATATTCAGAGTTGTGTAAGCTTTGCCACAATCAATACTACAGCATTCAGCACCCCTAAAAGTAAACTTCTGCTCACTAGGAAACATTCAAGAGAGAGTTTTTAAAGATGAAAGAAAAAGAATATTTTTATGCTGATGAGAAGAATCTAGTAGAGTTCAGGAACGCCATGATCCAAGAGGAAGATGGTAGACATACTGTGTCCTTGGTTGGGAAGAGAAGAGAGATCTGGGAGAAAATCACTGCTGTTTTATCCTTAGTGTCTAGGGAGAAGGAAGAGGACATAGACACGGATGCAAGTAAGTGCCTATGTGGCTAGACTTATTGTGCTAGGAGTCTGAGAAAGACTCATGATTTCTTCTACTTTCTCTATGAAACAGAAACTGTCTCTCCCTGTATCTCAATGCCCCAAAGTGAGTTACATGCCCATTTTAAAAATAGTTCCTGTTCTCAGGATAACTCCACACACTGATGAACTTAGGCTGTGTTCTTGAATTAATCAACTGTAAGAAAGTTGAACTCAAATTAATCATGACTCACTCCTGGGATTAATTCCTTAAATAGACCAGGTATGGCAGTGTCCCTTCTAATCCCAGTATTCTGGGAGGCTGGGGCTGGTGGCTCACAAGTGTGAGGATAGCCTGGGCAACTTAGCAGCTCAGTGAGGGGTTGTCCCAACATTTTTAAAAAGGGAGGGGGCTGGGAATGCAGCTCAGTACAAAGGTTTTAGATTTAATCCACCATACTGAAAAGAAGAAGAGAGGGAAAGTGAGAAGAAGGAGGAGAAGAAGAGGGAAAAGGGAGCGGGGGGATGAGTAGGAAAATGAGAAGAGGAGGAGCAGAGAAAAGAAAATAAAGAAAAAAATCCCAAATAATATGATTCGTCTTTAATAGAGAACAGTTGGATGCATTCTGGGGTTTCACCTACTATCCACACTCACATTTAATGGCATAGGCTCACCTCAAAGCCCTAAACAAGGAGGATACTAGTTTCCCACATTGCTGCTGCAACAAATTACCATTCCCACACGCCAGTGGCCTAAAACCACAACACAGATGTGTTCACCTGCAACGCTGGGGTCAGAAGTTTGTAAGGAGTTTCATCCGGCAACAGTATTGATGTGTTCTGAGGTCTCTGAGGGGTGAATCTGCTTCCTTTATCCTTTTCTGCTTCCAGTCAGTGTCTGTATATGTTGTCTTTTGACCCCTTCCTCCATCCTTGAATCATATCATTCCAATTTCTGCTTTCATCACATCACTTTTTGTCTGACCCCTCCCGCTTCACCCCTGTAATCACACTGAACTCACTCAGATAATCCAAGATGGATTCCTGACCTCCAAACTCTTAATTACATCTGCAATGACCTTTTTGTGACAAAAGGTAACAGCCAATGGTTTGGGTGAATAGTCAGAGACTTGGAAGGAACATGACTGGAAAATTAGTGACAAAGAAGTCTGGGGAAGAGAAATCTAAATAGGCCTCTCTGAATGAGCACAAAACATGCAATTATCTGTGTTCCATGTGAATTATCTTCAAAAATTGACCTGTGTAGAGATGCATTTTAATCGATTGAGTGACTAAGATGATCTGTTCTATGGATAATAAGTCAGCCTTTTGCCTAGCCACTTCTGTCATAACCAATAGGCTCATGAAGAAGAGTATCATAGATGGAGGTTATGAATAGGCTTAGCAATGTGGACTTGCAATTACCAATGCAGACCTGAATACAATTACTGCTGAGCACACAGTGAAGCAACCCCTTGGCAACAGGAACAAAAATCAAGTCCCCCATAAGACACCATTCTATGGAGTGACCGGCTATCTACCTGGAGACAGGTAGAGTACATTGAACCCACTTCAATCATAAAACAGACAATGCTTTATTCTTACTGGATTAGACACTTATTCCGAATATGTATTTGCCCTTCTCACATGTGTTTCTTCTGCTAGAGCTATCCTCTGTGTATTCTCTGAATGCCTCATCTGCCATATAAGTATTGCTTCTGATCAACCACCTCATTTCACAGCAAATTAAGTGCAGCAATGGTCTTATTTTTCTCATTAATCTACTATTCTTGCCATGTTCCTTGTCATCTTAAACAGGTAGTTTGATAAAACAGTAGAAAAATTCTTGAAGAGACAACATCGATTAGATGCCAAAACTTTGCAAGATTAGGGCAATGCTCTCCAAGGGGGTATATATTCTCTAATTTAGCATCCAGGATATGATGCTTTTTCTCTCATAGACAGTATTCACAGCCCCAGGAATGAAGGGATGGAAGTAGGAGAGGCATCTCTCATTATTACCCTAGTGATCTACTAGTAAAATGTTTGCCTCCTATCTCTGCGACCCTATGCTCTGCTAGCCCAACTCTCAGTTCCAAAGAAAGAAATACTTCTACCAGGAGACAAATTAATGATTCTACTGAGCTAAAACATAAGACTGCCACATGGCCATCTTGGGCTCCTCATGCTTCTGAATAAACAGGCAAAGAAGGAGTTACTGTATTGACAAGAGTGACTGATCTTGATGGCTAAATGGAAATTAGCATGCTACTATAAAATGGAGATGAGAAAGAGCATGTCTGAAACAGAGACAATTCCTTAGGGATTCTCTCAGTACTGCTATCCCAGAATTTATCAGACTGCCATAAATGAGCTGCACTATGAGAATGGGTTCTTGCTTTGTTCTAAAATTCCACCTCTTTCCTTCAGTCATCTGCTAAATCACTTATGATCAGAATTTTAGATTGTTGCTACAATGGGACTAGTTTTTTCTGACAAAAATGTCTTTCCTTTCAAATATTCAGAGTTTAATGAGACAAATATTTACCTTCCTTTGTCTTACAGATCCTGCGTAGCTTTATACTTAGGGTCAAAGATCTCAAGATGACTTGGTCCTCTCATTTGGGTGCTATAGTTTGTAATCCATCTCTGGTAGAACCCTTATAATGCAATCAGATTCTAAAGAATCCAGCTGATGCATAGGTGGAGTTATATCAGTTGTTTGCTGATACTTTGACTGATTAGTGGCCAGACTGCAGAGCTTATTGAGTATTTTGGATGTCATTCCTGCCTATGGATCCTTATGTGTAGCAGGTTGGAAATACGTACAACTCTGCTAGGTTGAAGGCTTTGTGGAATCATACATTCAACAAGGGTAGTTCTTTTGCTTTGTAAAACACTGCAAATATCAGAGACATCTAATGAAAACTAATCAGCCAGGCAGTGCAGTACATATTCAGGAAGCATAATCAGTGATCATTTATTCCCCTTGTTATACATGGGGAGTGGTGCATTGGCATTGTAAGCTTTCGAGGAGCTGCTCTCTGGTTGCTTCTGGAGTCAGATAGACTGCAGAATAGTTGGTTGTACTCTGTGAGTAGCGTGCCCAGAATGCTACTGCAAAACTCTTGGGAGAGCTCTACGCCAACTCAAAAGCACCCAAGGGGAAGGTTTTATGAATACCAGTGATTCGTATCTTCACAGAATGTCATCTAAGCACCTATCTTAGACTGACTATTTGAACATCATCTGGTAGCCACAACAGTGTCATCTGGATTTACGTCTGAAGTGTGCTTACAGTTCATGAAGGGATCTGTGCCATTATCACAATGGTATATCGAATTCTCTTTCTAGTTATTTAGAAAAAAAACACAGAAAGAAAATGGATGAAAAGTGACTAATGTGGGTAATTATCTTTATAGTTCTCATCAATACTGTACTCTCAAATTCTTTTTATAGCTTTTGGCCCTCTGAGAAGCAAATCCCTCTGGAAATTTCAACTTATTGAATATCAATAGACTTCAACATAGGCTTTCTAAAGAGCATCATTATGGCTTTTCTCAAGCACAAAAAGAAGTACTTAACTTTAATTATACCAAGATTTTATTGATTTGGCTGGCTTAATATCTTGAGTCTCGATTAACATCAGAGAACTTATAATCATCATTATTCAGGATTGGGAGATAGAAGAGACTGGAAGAAAAACAGCCACCAAGGATGGGGAGCTCCATGGTGACAGACCGTGAATAAGATAGGGAGCCTTGTGGCTCTTGGTAGCTATTAAGAATACTCAGATAGCTATTGATCAGATGAATTCAAAGCCGATGGAGATAATCAAAAAGTAAGAGTTTACTAAATGAGCTTCTTTTAAAGATATATCACAATAATACAACAAGAATGATAATAGTAGCATCTATTTATCAAATTCATAGTTCATTGCTTCCCAAAGTACCCAGAGCACATATTGCCTCTGGATCCCCCATGGACTCTCCTGAACCTATCCTGGTCAGTTTATTTGACCAAAAAGTCTATGTTCTTTCCTTTTTTTTTTTGGAGATTTGGCAGGCTTTCTTTCCTAATTACAGGCAGCTTCAGGGACCAGAAGGCTGGCGGGCAGGGGACTTGGGGTGGCTTCCCTCGCCAGCGGGGAGTGAGGCCTGTGCCCGGCTCCGCACTGGCCCTTCTTGTGGGAGTTCTTGAACAGCGTCACCATGGATGTCTGGCCCTTCTTCCAGCTCAAGAAGCCGCCGCAGCGCTTGCTCCGTGCTCTAGGGCCCGTCGTCCTTCTTGGCGGCCCCGCCCTGGCCTGGGCCTCGGCCTCAGCCTCAGCCTCTGAACTCAGATCCGCGGGTCGCTCCCGGGTCAGCTCCCTCTTGAACTCGATCGGGAAGGCCTGGTCGACTCGTCCTCCGAGCAGTTCGAAACCTTCGCGGGGCGCCGCTTCTTGCCCACCGCTTGCCCCCGCGGAAGTGCTTCGCTGCATGGAGTAGAAGCGCTTTCCCTCACGCCGGCCGGCTGGGAGCCATTGACGCGGAATTCGGGGTCACTGGCGGGGTGGGGAGGGCTTGGCCTTGGCCTGCTGCAACCTCCTCCTTATTCTTTCTTTCCATTATGTTTTATTTTACTTTCCTTAAAATGTCTGCCTTCTAGATTGCCAGTGATATTCAGATATTACTAAATCAGCCAGAGATTCTTTTTCTATCGTGATTTATTATGAGTTAGTGCCACAGGAAACAAGTAAGTGTATGTAAGAGACAGTTGAGGTTTTTTTGCTGACAACAGGTTTGTTATTTCCTCCTGTAACACGAAAATCTTGACCCGTGACAATGAAATACGGTCACATATTTATAGCCAAGCTATGACTCCATGCTTTCACTTGCTATGTGATTAAGAAGCCCAGACTTTTCTTAGGTTTCTTCTTTCCAAATATGCTCTAGGACTCCTGGGGTAGTTTTTGCCTATCAATGAGTTGGTTCTTTCTTGACAGCTGCTGCTTGCCAGTAAGTGTTGTGAAAGATCAGATTGCACCGTCCGTCCTTTGATGTTGAGAAGGCCCTGTCTATCTTGGATATCTCTAGTTGTGTGGTCTTGCTGCAGTCTTAAGCATGTTGCAACCGAGCCCGAGCCCGGCAGTCTACAAAGGTGACCCTTCACGGGAATCACTCACTACCTGCTGAGGGGCTTGCCTGAGTGTAATTATCCAATTTGGAACACAAAATGAGAAAAAAATATATATATTCTCTTTTGATATATTCCCATGATTAATATTCTCAAAAGTTGTTTTTAGTGCAACAAGAGACAAATACCACAGAGGCCTTTATTTCACAATCTTGGTGACTTTGTTGCAGTAATGGGAGAGCTTTTATATGTAAAATAAAGTGAAAAATTATAGCATTCACTAGAGAAACATGGAATGCTAGAACTTGAAGTGACAGTATACATGTTGCTGAAACATTTTACAGCTGAGAAAAAGAAGCATTCATTCTGTCACGTAGCAGTGGTCAATGTCTTCAGCCTAGACATCAGAATACCAGTCCAGAAATCATGTCCCAAAATCTTCACCTATGCTTTTCTTTAGAATCATCTTATTAAATAATAAATGTACAGCAGTTTCTCAACTCTACATATGTGCATACATTTTTAAAGAGGAAAACCATTATGTTTTATTATACCATGATCCTGGCTAATAACTTCTCAAAGTTTTGAAAAAAAAATCTTTTAAAATTTTCCCATGTCAACCAAAATTTACACTTACTATTAAACAAGAAGTTCTTCCACACAGTGTTATCAGAATACATACAGTGAATGTTTACATTTTGCACATTATTACAATAAGAGATACATTGCGATTAATCCTCCTCAAAACACCCCCCCACACACTTCAAACACACTTATCCATTGTTCTTGTCATTTTCTGAAGCAGTTCTGGAAGTTCTTTTTCATGAGTGTCTTTGTAGGATTGCCTCCATATACTGAATCAATTCAAAACGTTTACCTTTCATGTTCATTTTGACTTTAGGAAAGACCCAGAATTTTCATGGTGCCAGATTCAGTGACTAAGGTACATGAGGACAAACTGTTTTTTTCCATTAAGTTTATTGGTATATTTACAGCAAACAGTACAGGTACATTTACCATTGGGATCTCATACCTTTACATGAAATATTGTGGTTCTTGTTTTTTCCCCATACTGCTGCTCTCCCTTCACCTCCCTTCACCCTTCACAAACTATATTTGACAGAAATTGCCATAAACATTTTGAGGGAGTAAATATGTTTGAAGAAAAGGGGAGTATTTTGAGGAGGATTAATGGCAATTGTTTCTTACTGTAATAATTGTTAGATTTTTACTTTTACTTAAACATTCACTCTATATTTTAATCTTCCTTGCATACTGTTATAAAGACCACTAAAAAAATTTAAAAACTAAGAAAGTGTCTCAAAGGAATTTTAAAACAGTCTTCCTTCTACAATAAGGTCATATTATTAAATAATACAGTCTGTTCACAAAATGGCCATTAGCATTTGCTGTAGTGTCTTCTGCCATATCATTGCATAGTCATGCATAGCTGAGAGAAGAGCTTTCTTAACGTTGTTATTTCAAACGAAAAAATGGAAACAAAGTCTTTGTAAATAGGGAAGGGTGGAGGGGACAAGGGAAGGCAGGGGTGTGGGGGAAAAAACCAAGACCTGTCATGTGAAGAAGGTACAGGATCCCAGTGATGAATGGAACTGTACTGTGTACCTAAAAATTACCAATAAACTCAATGAGAAAAAAATTGTTATTTCAATAACCAGAAACTACTTTATTACTTCCTGAAAGGTCACCCAATTGGACCCCCACCCAAGCAGACCCACTACCCGCATCTGCAGGACAGAGATAACAAGAAGCCGGCAACTGCCCTGCTGTTCCTCCCATCGGCCCTGTTTATCATCAGCCAGCCCCAGGCCCATCTCCCACAGGACTCTAAAATTTTCCACTCTCTCCACCAGTGCTCACTTCCCTACGTAATCTCCCCTGTATCAACCAAATACACCCTCCTCTCAGTGCCAACGGCCTTTTCACCCTTGTCCCATCTGCACTCAGATGGCAATAAACTCATTGCATGATGCTTAGATTTGGCTGCCATAGTGGTCTCAACCTTACAGTTCTGGGTTCTCATCCTCTCTTTTTTGTGCAGGGAAACCCATTGCTCAGTATCAGCACTCCTACCCCACCCCAAACTATAGTCTCTTCTACTCTCTGGTGTGGCCATGTTCCTAACTACAGCCAGAGTTTCCATTTGTCCTGCCATGCGATCTTTTATGAAAACAGATTTGAAGAGTGCTTTATATGGCTAGTCACTTTGTTGTTAAACCCTACTGGCTTTCCAAATTCTGGATTTGAATTGGGATGGAGTGATACTGGAGAGGAACAAAAGTGTAGTTCTTCCTTGGAAGGTGGTTGGTAGCATTTTCTCAGAATAGGTGACAATTTCTTCACACCATCGCTGGCTATGTTGTTAGAAACGATGCCACTATCTTCATCACATGGTTTGCAGCTGACAAATGTGTGCACATGCCCTTTTCCAGGTACAAAAATCCTGAGAGTTTATTTGTATAACTACTCCTACTTTGCAGCAGAGGACTGAGGCTAAAGAAGGTAACATAACTTGTTCAAACTGTCACAGAGCTTATTTACTAGATCTGGTCTCCAATTCAAACATTTTTGTTCTGAATATAGTATTCTTTCTAATAGAAAGAAGGGCACGTTCCTTGTTCGTGGTGTATTTGCCCATAAACTGCTACTTTGATTTCAGATTATATCTCATATCCATCCCTAGCCACCTGCTTTTGCACTGTACCACAAGGGACACTTTCCAGGTTCCCTTGCCTTCTAGGGGGTTAAATCTATGGGAGATATGTATGGTTAGAGAGCAAGGGAAGAGAAGGCCAAGAGAATTCTCCATCTCTCTCAGCTTCTTGTGGCATCTCAGAGTAGTGTCCTCTGTGGCTCTGTTTCCTGCCAGAGATCACCTTCTTTAACAGAGATGACCCCTTGGATGGCTTCTCCCAGACAACCCAGGCTTCTGGGCCTTCCCAATATGACATTTTTCTATCGAACTTCTTAGTCCCATGAACACGAACGACTTCCTGATTTTTCCAGTTTCTGAGATGCTCATTATCTCATGCTTGTTTTCTCTTTCTTTCCATAACCATTGGCTTGGTGCTCTTTATTAAATTCTCCTCATCTGAGAGATCTTGAGTGGTTTTTTTTCCCTAGTGGATTCTAATTGATAAACATATAAACTAAAATGAAATTCTTTTTAAAAAAATTCAAATTGCTCATACAGACCACTAGTCATACCTTTTCTGGGCTAGCTTTGGCCATGGAAGCAGTATGTCAGACATTTAATGGGCAAAAAAAACATTTCAATAATCCTTTTTTCCACACTGATATTCCTTGGTTATTTGAAATTACACAGAATTAATGAAGAGGAAAGTTACTTCCTGTGTTCACCTCCTTCCCCAACACATCTCAGAAGGGTCCTTGTACTTCATAAGCATAATTGGAAACTAGAAGTGGTGGTATAGATACAATCTGTATTTCCTTGTAGAGCTTTCCTCTTGCCTTCACTGTTCATTACTAGTTCAAATGTAAAATGGTGTGCTCCACGTGAAAAAGGGTACAGATCTTTTAAAACCCAAGGCTTCCAAACTTTAGAAGTCATCATGGTCATCTGCGGGCCTTGCTAATGTACAGATGATTGGCCTCCTCCCCACTTTTTGGTTCTATAGGTAGGGAAGGGCCATGAATTTGAAGTATTTTTAAACTTGTGTTTTAAAAGTGATAAAATAGCTAACATAAAATTTACTATTTTAACTATTTTTGTCCATACACTTTAGTGGCATTAGATATATTCACTGTGTTATGCAACCATCTAGAACTTTTTTTCATGATCCCAAACAGAAACTCTGGAACCATTAAAAAATAGTTCCTCATTCCTTGCCTACTTCTGTTCTGCTTCATATTTCTATGAGTTTGCTGACTGTTGGTACTTTATATAATATATTATATATAATATTTGTCCCTTTCTGTCTTATTTCACATAGAATAATGTGTTCAGGGTTCATCCATGTTGTAGCATGTATCAGAATGTCATTAGAGCTTCAGGCTGAATATGTACATATACGTCACATTTTGTTTATCCATTCTTCCATTGATGAACATTTGAATCATTTCTACCTTTTGGTCCCTCTGAATAATGCTACCATGAACATTGGTATATCTACTTGAGCTTCTGCTATCAGTTCTTTTGAACATATTCCTAGGAATGAAATTGCTGGATCATCTTATCATCCTACATTTAGCTTTTTGAACAAGGACTGTCCTTTCCTACCGTGAATATATCATTATCCATTCCTATCATCAATGTACAAAATTTCCAATTTTTCCATGTCATCACAAACATTTGTTTCCCTCTATCTCTGTCTCTGTTTATAATACCCATCACAATGGTATGAAGTGGTATCTCATTGTGATTTTGATTTGCATTTTCCTAATGGCTAGTGGGTTGAGTATCTTGTCATGTGTTGATTAACCATTTGCATATATTTGGAAAAATGTCTACTTAAGTCCTTTGCTCAGTTTTTAATTAGGTTGTTTTTGTTGTAGAAGAATTTGAATTATTAACAATTTTCCAGGTGATACTCATCTATTGGTCCTGAGACTATACTTTGAGAATCACTGCTTTATATTCTGTATGTCAAATAATTGAATGCCAGCCTTGTTTGTGAATGCTAGCCTTGGTTGTTTGTTGGATTAACTTTGACTTGATATATGTTTTTAACATTTCCTAGGTGATTGGCTTTTGATAATCCATATTTTTATGGCTGTATATTGCCTTTCTTGTGCAGCAACAGTGGAACATAAGGTGCCCTACAATTGAAAATCCCAATACCATTTTGCCAAAACTCTTAGAGACTGCAGCGGGATGTGTTACAGTGCTTTTGGAATATTCATCTTACTAAAGCTGGGTATGGAAGGATGTTCATACTGAACTGAAGATTTAGGAAACTCCTGTTTCCATATCATCATGGAGTCTCAAAGCTCCTGATCAGCAGGAATCATTTTATATATGTAATTTATAAAAGTGAGTAATTATCTTAAAGTAGTCTTTCATATTAGCCTGGGTTAGAAAAATTATTATTGACCATCTGAATATGTAATTACCATGATTTATTTGTCAAGTACTGAGCGTAGGCAAATTTCCTATATTGTTATTGAGTTTGAGAAGTTAATTAGTATACCTATTAAGCAAAACCCAGAAAGCATTATATGTGACATACTTCCTTATAACTCAAATAAACTGATTTCAAGACCTTTTGGGTTTGAAGTTTCATTTAATAGTTCTCAAACATATTCCTTTAAGCTAATGAATGTCTGTACTTATCTCTATCACTAAAAATATTCTATATCTTTTAAATGGCTTATAACAGTGCTTGCTAGATATACATAACTAAGTTTGTTTAATGTGAAATCTGTATAGATATTCATTGGAATTGATGGAGAAGTGTAATTTGCCTGATTATTATTATTTAGTGTTTATGTAGTACATATTCCAATGTACTGATAAAACTAGTTCCTTTAGAATTATTCATTATAATGTCCTTTTGATACAATATGTGATTTACTTTTGTTATGCCTTTTGATATATTTCAGTGGAAGAAAGGAATATGATAGGCTCTTGCCCTATTCTGTATCTGGGATCCCCAAGATTATCCACAGGTTTGATGATTCACTAGGAGAACCCATGGGATTCAGTAGCTGGTCACCCTCACAACTTCAAGATTATTCTAGCACAAAAATGCAAAGCAAAACCAGCAGAGAGAAAAGTCACATGGGATGAAGGCACAGCATTCCATGGAACCTTTTCCTGTAGAGTTACACAGGACATACTTAATTTCCCCAGCAAGAAGTTGCAGCAGTGCTTGTGAAATGTTACATACCAGGAAAACTCTAATCAGAGGCTCAGTGCCAAGGGTTTTCACTGGACTTGATCACATAGACAGCTTCTGCTTGGCACCTACCAAGTCTCCTAAAGGGAAGCAGGTGTTCAACCTTCTGATGGTTAATGTTACATAGTTGGCTGGGCTGCAGTGCCCAGGTGGTTGGTCAAACACTATTCTTAATGCTTCTGTGAGAACATTTTTGGATGAGACTTACATTTGATTTGGTGGACTTTCAGGGAAGCAGATTACCTCACTAGTTGGGTGGACCTCATCCCATTAGTTGAAGACTTGTAGAGAGCAAAAGACTGAGCTCCTCTGGGTAAGAAGGAATTCTTCTGGCAGATGGACTCTGGTCTTGAACTGCAACACTGACTCTGCCTGAGTCTCCAGTCTGCCGGCCTGTCCTGCAGACTTTGGCCTGTCTGGTCTCCTTTATCCCGTGACTCAGTTTCTTAAAATAACTCTCTCTGTGTCTAAATACACATGCACACACATGCTCACATGCACATATATACACCACCCTATGATTCTGTTTCCATGGAGGGCCCTGACTAATACAAGCCTAAACCATATTGCTTGTACAGCTTATGCACAATGAACCATGCCAGTCAGCTAATGTAATCTAAATTCCCAGATGCCAGTGAAATGCTGGCCTTGTGAGCAGCTCTTTCTAAGAACAGCTGTTTGGGTCTGCTGCATTTACTTTTATCCTCCATATATTGCCATCATATATACTTTATATAAACCATAGAAACTTACCCTAAAAAAAGAGGGGAGGAGATTTACTTCTCACTGGGTCCTGGTGTGTAGGTACGTTGTTCATAAACCAGGGGGAGTGTCTTTTGTGCAGAGGCCTGGAGAAGCATTCTTGGTACACAAAACCACAGATGAGTAAATGAAACCCCTGTACTTTTTTCTCTGTAACTGCTTGTGTTTTCTATTTGAACCGCATCATACTGTAT